TTGCTGGATCCCAACGTACGAAGTGCACACCAGGCGACAGCCGTGTAGCCTCGCGCGCCTTTCCTTTCTTATAGGTTTCCTAATACTACACCAGCTCGCAACCATGTACTTGGTGACTCCCCTTCTTGCCTTTAGGTATGGACTGTAATCGGATGTTTGCTTACAACCTCTCAACGAAGGTTGGAGGGTGTCGAGGAAGAAGAAAGGGAGCGACTACAAACAAGGCACAAATAGCCTTAAAAGAGCTCACCTTTCCACTGTAACAAGCTATCTTATTTGCATGTGCTTTTAGTGACAACACGTTGTCATTCGTCAGGAACACCGTTTCCCAACCTTCTCCTCGTGCTTCCACTTGAAACGGAACAATTACTTTTTGAATCGAGGTTCAAAATAGAAGCTACTCACACAAAATCTTCATTTGATACGCGCATTTCAAAATGAAATCGTCGTTGTCGTCGGTAGAGCTGGTCACGAATCCGTCCACCCGAGCAAAAGACTAAAATGTGAGGGAACTGTAAACTGCAATGAAATGTTACAGTTCATAAACGTCACGTCTTGGGAAAATACCCCGTCTCACTTTCCTGGGGTAAGGTCGCTACGGAGAAACAGAGACTTCCGCCACTCGGAGGCCTATCCCTACAACGCTTTAATGGAGGAGACGAAATACGTATTGAGCATCAATTCATCGTCGCACATTTCTAGGTCACGTACGCGCCAAATAATCATAATCGATATAAATTTTGTCCGCAAATGTTCTGGAGGTAACCTGCACAGCGCAATCAAATATGCGCGACGACTCATTGTGAACCTCCTCCACTGCGCCCTCTCACAGTGACAGTGAGAGAGACTAGGGCCACGCAAACTCTGGCATCCTTAGACGCCTCAGTAGCGGAGTGCGTGGCCTAGTCTCTCCGCTTGCCCTCCTTGCGCGTAAAATTAAACCTTGTGACTGCGATGCAGTCCCGGAAATATTAGGTTGGCGGGAAAGTTCTGTCACTTTTTCGAACTCAAAATATTTGCCCATTACCTGAAGAGGGGTGAACGGTAATGTGAGCACTTATACATCAAAGAGTGGTCTTTCTATTAGTACCACTCGCTTGATTCCTGCTTCTTCTTCTTCTGCAATATGGACAAGAATGTTATCCGTGTTTTCCACGCAATAACCATCGACCCCCCGGACCCCTCCAAATGCTTCTGATAGTGCAGCGCACTTCCAAAAAGTTCTAGCCGTTCCTCATGCAATAGAGCTGGATGGCTCTCCCACTGCAGTGGTGTAGCACAGACATTGCTCCTTCTAACTGCGAGTTGCCCCCGTAATCAATCATTATGTGGACGAGAAATTACGAGAAAACCTCGAAAAGTCTGAGTTCAAGCCAAGATTGAGATGATGTCCAACTTTGTATCGCGCCTCCCTGCATTGTGAAGCGATGGCATCCATGAGGTGCTCTCAGACTACAGGCAGGACCCCTCAGTAGCATGTCCTTGAACGAATTTGATCGTTACACGCCTCTCCTATAAAAAGAAAGCGCCAAATTTATTGAAAAAAAGTGACAGAACTTTCCCGCTAACCTAATAGGACACATAAACGTCTCCCAGTAAACAACAACTCACCTCTGCTGAACTCTCCCAGTAAACTAAGGGTGAAGATCGTAGATCTCGCAGCTTGTGTACAATTCGGGTTGCTCTCTGGAAAAACAAGCGAGAAATCGAAGGGCAAAGATAGCTTGGAGGGAGAGGGGGGGGGGGGAGGGGGACTAGGCCACACCCTCTCCTTCTCGTATGAGTCTTCTCAACGGAATAGTGTTCATCCAGTGGCCTCCCGTCCATCAAACTTTACCGTGGGAAGGGGAGGCCAACAAGAATGGGTGTGACCTGGTCTCGCTTACTGCCCCCCCCCCTCCCACCACCTTTGCTCCGTTTTCCAAAGTTAATGAACCTAATAAACCTACAGATCGTAGCTGCACTCCTGAAGATGAAGTTGAAGATATCTTCTTCATATTATCCAGCTCATAAAACACTCGGTAAGGGATGACAATAGGCACCAGCTCTGAAATAATAATGCGGTCAGGTTAATTCACACAAACAGAAAATGACAAACCCTGCGATTGCATATTGTGGATATGGAGTTCAACTGAAAAGCTATAGTCGCCACGTGACTATCCTTGGAAGAAAAAAAAAGCAGAAAAACCCGGAGAACATTTGAGAACCCCTTGGCTGCCCCATTTACGAGTTGTAAGGACCTGCACGTTTTATGCCAGCAAAGCGATATTCTGCTACCTCTAGTTCACT